CTGACGCTCCGACCAAGTTGTAAAAACAATGTCGAACCAATACTATAATTACTTTAAAGTTACACTAAAATATCATAGCTAGAACGTCTGGCAATGTGCCATCGTCATTGAAAAAGCATTGTCCATATGGTCAATAGCATGGATGGGCGAGATTTGAAACTTGTAATCTCGTAAATAGGACCCTCCTCCGGTCAGCTCGTGATAAACAAACGGAAATAGACTATTCTCTAGTATTTGGGCTTACTACTCGTGATTTGAAAAACATCAAAATGCGATGGAATTAGCTACCAGTGATCTTACAACTATCATTGTCAAGTTTCCACACGTGAACGTCTAAAAACAGACATTCGGATGCTAAAAATATGAAGGAAATAAGTGGCCATCGCTTTCTGATCGATATTACTTTAAGTATAATATTGCAGGGCCCCGACAAACATATAGAGGCGAAATCAGTTAAAAACCATTCCAACTGACTTCAGTATGAATGTCATGCCTTGGCAATCAATCCATACTAGGATTAATTCTATCAAGATTCATATTCAAAGTGAAAATAAGTATATTGAAAATCAATGCATTTACCTCAGCTGCCTGGGCAATTGCACGCTGTGCCAGCTTTCGCCTCTTCTTGCGCTCTTTCTCTTCATCACGCTTCTTCTGTTGCTCAGCTGAAGCCCCTTTAAGTCGACTAATCTGGATGGAATCAGTGCGAGCATACTGAATGCGCATAGGCTGTAGGTAATCAAAAGAACGAGAATATGAAAAAAAACAAATTAATAGAGATTAAAATTAAAGGAGCACAAAAATTGATTACTTTTATCTCTTAATGAACAGATTCACGTTTTTTAAATAGAGAATATGGATAAGCAATATTCAATGCAAACATGAATATCCAATCTAATACTAAAACTAAGCTCAAGTTGTATGAGGAAAAAAATCGTGCGATTTGGGTTTATTCTAGCCTGGGCTGGCCACCACATTGTTTCTTATTAAATAAGAATTCAAGGAGACTGAAAACTTCAAAAGGATTAGCGCTGTAAATGAGAACAAACAACAGAATTCAGCACACTTCTGTGCTGAATATATTCCCTGCGTTGGCTCTCCTCTAATAAAACTCAATAAAAAAATATTAGGGAATTCGCTCTGTAAAATAAAC